CCAAGTGTGTATACACTCATGGACAAAACTTAAGGAAGCTGTACCTTTTAGCATGTATATCGGGATTGAGACAATAACTCTGAAAGATATTACAGTGATCTTTATTGAAGACACACGAGATAACCAAGTTCTTTCTTACTTTCCTCTTATTTGATACATTGTAAATAACATTGTTGATTACTGGTACTATTACTGTTATCCCTGTATGTACCCTACATTTCTGTGCTTGGAGAATCTGTATAAAACTGAAAGGTCTTAATAAAGTTTTTTGTTGTTGTTGATTACTGGTACTATTACTGTTATCCCTGTATGTACCCTACATTTCTGTGCTTGGAGAATCTGTATAAGACTGAAAGGTCTTAATAAAGTTTTTGTTGTTGTTGATTACTGGTACCATTACTGTTATTCCTGTATGTATCCTGCATTTCTTGTTTGGAGAATCTGTATAAGACTGAAAGGTCTTAATAAAGCTTTTTTTTTATTGTTGATTACTGGTACTATTACTGTTATTCCTGTATGTACCCTACATTTCTGTGCTTGAAGAATCTGTATAAGACTGAAAGGTCTTAATAAAGCTTTTTGTTGTTGTTGATTACTGGTACTATTACTGTTATTCCTGTATGTACCCTACATTTCTGTGCATGGAGAATCTGTATAAGACTGAAAGGTCTTAATAAAGCTTTTTGTTGTTGTTGATTACTGGTACTATTACTGTTATTCCTGTATGTACCCTACATTTCTGTTCTTGGAGAATCTGTATAAGACTGAAAGGTCTTAATAAAGCTTTTTGTTGTTGATTACTGGTACTATTACTGTTATTCCTGTATGTTCCCTACATTTCTGTGCTTGGAGAATCTGTATAAGACTGAAAGGTCTTAATAAAGTTTTTGTTGTTGTTGATTACTGGTACTATTACTGTTATTCCTGTATGTATCCTGCATTTCTTGTTTGGAGAATCTGTATAAGACTGAAAGGTCTTAATAAAGCTTTTTTTTATTGTTGATTACTGGTACTATTACTGTTATTCCTGTATGTACCCTAAATTTCTGTGCTTGAAGAATCTGTATAAGACTGAAAGGTCTTAATAAAGCTTTTTGTTGTTGTTGATTACTGGTACTATTACTGTTATTCCTGTATGTACCCTACATTTCTGTGCATGGAGAATCTGTATAAGACTGAAAGGTCTTAATAAAGCTTTTTGTTGTTGTTGATTACTGGTCCATTACTGTTATTCCTGTATGTACCCTACAGTTCTGTACTTGGAGAATCTGTATAAGACTAAATGGTCTTAATAGAGCTTTTTGTTGTTGTTTTATTGTTGTATATACATTCGAGCAGACTCCCCCAACGTCAAAGAATCCTCCTTCAGATAACCAGGAGGTTATCTTCCCTTACTTCAAATCTCAGGAACAACTTGTGGATGGACATTGACACAAGAATGACTGTCATTCATCCTTTGCTTTAAGAACCAGTAGTTCTGTAGGTTGAGTGTCAGTTGGAAGATGTTGAATATCTCAAATTCGGAGAATAAGTTAACAGTTCTTGTTAATGGCAGAAAAGATTGACAAAAGTTCCTATTACGGGATAACACACAAGTTGCAATATACTAGGGACTAGAGTAATAGTAACTTAACACACAGAAAAGCGTACACTCAAGAGTACAACAATAAAAAGGAAGTAAATTGAAAACTAACGATTTGTTATGTAAAAACAAAACAGTACTTTTATTGTAGCGTTGGTAGGGATCGGACCGGGGTCACACAGGTATGGGAGGAGATCACCAGACACGGAAAAATCACACAGAGTACACTTTAAACGTCTCCACACAATAATCCACCACACTGGCCTTTCGCAATACCATAGCCCCCTCTTATATACAAACATGGTCACATTCGTCCAATGAGAATGCTTGAGAGAACACTTTAAACGTCTCCACACAATAATCCACCACACTGGCCTTTCGCAATACCATAGCCCCCTCTTATATACAAACATGGCCACATTCGTCCAATGAGAATGATTGAGAGAACACTTTAAACTTCTCCACACAATAATCCACCACACTGGTCTCTCGTGATACCATAGCTCCCTCTTATATATACAAACATGGCCACATTCGTCCATTGAGAATGCTTGAGAGAACACTTTAAACGTCTCCACACAATAATCCACCACACTGGACTCTCGCAATACCATAGCCCCCTCTTATATACAAACATGGCCACATTCGTCCATTGAGAATGCTTGAGAGAACACTTTAAACGTCTCCACACAATATTCCACCTCACTGGACTCTCGCAATACCATAGCCCCCTCTTATATATACAAACATGGCCACATTTGTCCAATGAGAATGATTGAGAGAACACTTTAAACGTCTCCACACAATAATCCACCACACTGGACTCTCGCAATACCATAGCCCCCTCTTATATACAAACATGGCCACATTCGTCCATTGAGAATGATTGAGAGAACACTTTAAACGTCTCCACACAATAATCAACCACACTGGACTCTCGCAATACCATAGCCCCCTCTTATATACAAACATGGCCACATTCGTCCAATGAGAATGCTTGAGAGAACACTTTAAACGTCTCCACACAATAATCAACCACACTGGACTCTCGCAATACCATAGCCCCCTCTTATATACAAACATGGCCACATTCGTCCAATGAGAATGCTTGAGAGAACACTTTAAACGTCTCCACACAATATTCCACCTCACTGGTCTCTCGCAATACCATAGCCCCCTCTTATATATACAAACATGGCCACATTCGTCCAATGAGAATGCTTGAGAGAACACTTTAAACGTCTCCACACAATAATCCACCACACTGGACTCTCGCAATACCATAGCTCCCTCTTATATACAAACATGGCCACATTCGTCCAATGAGAATGCTTGAGAGAACACTTTAAACGTCTCCACACAATAATCCACCACACTGGACTCTCACAATACCATAGCCCCCTCTTATATACAAACATGGCCACATTCGTCCAATGAGAATGGTTGAGAGAAAACTTTAAACGTCTCCACACAATAATCAACCACACTGGACTCTCGCAATACCATAGCCCCCTCTTATATACAAACATGGCCACATTTGTCCAATGAAAATGCTTGAGAGAACACTTTAAACGTCTCCACACAATAATCCACCACACTGGACTCTCGCAATACCATAACCCCCTCTTATATACAAACATGGCCACATTCGTCCAATGAGAATGGTTGAGAGAACACTTTAAACGTCTCCACACAATAATCCACCACACTGGACTCTCACAATACCATAGCCCCCTCTTATATACAAACATGGCCACATTCGTCCAATGAGAATACTTGAGAGAACACTTTAAACGTCTCCACACAATAATCCACCACACTGGACTCTCGCAATACCATAGCCCCCTCTTATATACAAACATGGCCACATTTGTCCAATGACGTGAGAGATTGGTTCACTAACAAACGAAAACAACATTTTTCCCACTAAAAACTGAGTTAAAAGTACAAATATTCGTCAATATAATATATAATGTTTATAGCCATGATGGCAGGTGGCGTTACATTTGATCTTCTTGTCTGTTGGAATAGCTTCATACCATCTTACTGAGTCCCCGTTACTCCTCTATTACTCATCTTTTCAAATAATACGTGAATATATGCAAATATTGTATGGCACTGAGTTTTTTTTTTTACACACATTATTGAAAAATAGAAACTATTTTAGACGCGCAAAATTCTTTTTGAAATTAAATAATTTCGACTGCCCTTACTGCAATGGAAAAAAAATAATAGGAAGGCCTGGCTCATCACTGGTAAACCCTCCCAGCGGTTTCGCCAGTTTAATCTACCATACCGCTGTTATATTGCATTTTTCGGTGTTCCTTTTATAGTGATACTGATGTTAGACTCTTGGAATGGGTATTTTAGATGAACAATGGACATAAGCCTTGAGGACAGTAGAATTACAGTATCACTATAAAAGGAAGATCGAAAAATGCAATATAACAGTGGTAGGGTAGATTAAACTGGCGAAACCGCTGGGAAGGTTCACCACTGATGAGCCAGGCCCTCCTATTAAATTTTCCATTGCAATAAGGGCAGTAGAAATTGTTTGATTTCAAAAAGAATCTTATGCGTTTAAAATAGTTTCGAATTTTCATAACAGATGGCGCGTTAGTGCATCATAACACACATTAATATAAAACAATATAATGCGGCTTATGATTGTAGAACGACATTTGAAAATTATACCGCAAAAGTTTCTTTTTGAACGAAAAATCGAAATTAATTTTAAAGAGAAATAACGATTATTTCTATCCTTAAGGATGAAGTATGAAAGGATGAATTGTGAGAAGAATAATGATGAACGGAAAATGGTGATTCCTATTAATATAAATCACGATTTTTCATTCTGTAAAAAAGAAACATTTGTGATGGACATGACATCTGCCTGGTAAGCAGAAAACTGTGGGTTCGATTCCCATCCCTGGACGCTTTATTTTTCCGTTTATCATTACTTTTCATAATTCAACCTTTCATACTTCATCCTTAAGGTTAGAAATAGTCGTTATTTCTCCTTAAAATAAATTTCTATTTTTCGTTCAAAAAGAAACATTTGCGGTAAAATTGTCAAACTTCCTTTTACACATTAATATGTTATAATATCTTGATAAAGGTTGGCGTTCAGCAAACTGAAATATTGGTAAAATAAATGATATTTTGATGCCTTTTCAATTAAATATGCAAATATAAGAGATAAAATTACAAAACACGAATGTTTTTTTTTCAAAACCAAATCAAATAAACTTTATATTATAAAAACGTGAAGTCGAAGAGTATCTTTTGAGTTTTAATTGAATAAAAAGCGTGAATTATATAAACTATAAAATAATAAAATAACTTAATAAAATTAATCTTAAATTCTACACAAAATTGAAAAAAAAAACGAAATAAATCAAAAATAAAAATAAAAAAATGGACTAGCTGGATATTGAACCAAGTACCTCTTGAATGCTAAGCGAGAGCTCTACCATCTGAGCTATACCCCTTCGTGGCGAGCGCTCCCTTTACTGGGTTTTCAAGGTCGTAATCTTAGGTCACGTATGATTGGCTAGCAAAGTTGGCATCTTATTGGTCACTTTTCTTTTATGTAACTAGTCGTCGCTCTATTGATAGAGCATTTATTATTTAATTGCTTTTTTTGTCTTTTTTTCTTTATTTATGATTCACATGGTAATCCTTGTGCCATTCCATTTGGGTAGTCGATAGATTCCTTTAACAATAAAAAATAAATAAATATAAAAAACAGACGAGCTTTACAAAAAAAAATTAACTTGAGTTTTTACTTGAAACTTTACTAACAAAAGAGTGTGTATACACTCATGGACAAAACTTAAGGAAGTTGTATATTTTAAAATGTATATTTTGTATATTTTTAAAATTTGTATATTATTATATTTTTATATTTTATTTAAAAGGAAACGTTCTAATTTACATGTATGTGAATTCCACTGTTATATATGCAAATAAGAAGTGATTTATGCTTAAATTACGAAACTTTCTTTAGTTTTGTCTATGAGTGCATAGTTTTCTTATAATCTTAAATTTTCTTATGGATATTGGAGGTAAGATTCTCAGTTTTTTTTTTTTTTTTTTAGCATACGATCAATAATTGTATTTTTTCACGCTAGGCCTACTCTAGGTTTGTGAAAACAGCTTGCATACCTACATTCTATCATAATCAATTATTGTTGAAAATTGTTGCATTATATTATTTGTCAGTGGTTTTTATTATTGTTGACTTAGCTCTAATATGAAATGCTGACATGAGGAACAGACACCATGTCAGCCAACATGGAGTACATCCTGTATCCCCTTTGTCATTAAGACTGGGAGCACTACTCAGTAGCAGGCCACTGACTTAGCTCCAATATGTAATGGTGACATGAGGAACAGACACCATGTACAGCCAACATGGAGTACATCCTGTATCCCTTTTGTCATTAAGACTGGGAGCACTACTCAGTAGCAGGCCACTGACTTAGCTCCAATATGAAATGGTGACATGAGGAGCAGACACCATGTACAGCCAACATGGAGTACATCCTGTATCCCCTTTGTCATCAAGACTGGGAGCACTACTCAGTAGCAGGCCACTGACTTAGCTCCAATATGAAATGGTGACATGAGGAACAGCTACCATGTACAGCCAACATGGAGTACATCCTGTATCCCCTTTGTCATCAAGACTGGGAGCACTACTCAGTAGCAGGCCACTGACTTAGCTCCAATATGAAATGGTGACATGAAGAACAGACACCATGTACAGCCAACATGGAGTACATCCTGTATCCCCTTTGTCATCAAGACTGGGAGCACTACTCAGTAGCAGGCCACTGACTTAGCTCCAATATGAAATGGTGACATGAAGAACAGACACCATGTACAGCCAACATGGAGTACATCCTGTATCCCCTTTGTCATCAAGACTGGGAGCACTACTCAGTAGCAGGCCACTGACTTAGCTCCAATATGAAATGGTGACATGAAGAACAGACACCATGTACAGCCAACATGGAGTACATCCTGTATCCCCTTTGTCATTAAGACTGGGAGCACTACTCAGTAGCAGGCCACTGACTTAGCTCCAATATGTAATGGTGACATGAGGAACAGCCACCATGTACAGCCAACATGGAGTACATCCTGTATCCCCTTTGTCATTAAGACTGGGAACACTACTCAGTAGCAGGCCACTGACTTAGCTCCAATATGAAATGGTGACATGAGGAACAGACACCATGTACAGCCAACATGGAGTACATCCTGTATCCCCTTTGTCATTAAGACTGGGAGCACTAATCAGTAGCAGGCCACTGACTTAGCTCCAATATGAAATGGTGACATGAAGAACAGACACCATGTACAGCCAACATGGAGTACATCCTGTATCCCCTTTGTCATTAAGACTGGGAGCACTACTCAGTAGCAGGCCACTGACTTAGCTCCAATATGTAATGGTGACATGAGGAACAGCCACCATGTACAGCCAACATGGAGTACATCCTGTATCCCCTTTGTCATTAAGACTGGGAACACTACTCAGTAGCAGGCCACTGACTTAGCTCCAATATGAAATGGTGACATGAGGAACAGACACCATGTACAGCCAACATGGAGTACATCCTGTATCCCCTTTGTCATTAAGACTGGGAGCACTAATCAGTAGCAGGCCACTGACTTAGCTCCAATATGAAATGGTGACATGAGGAACAGCCACCATGTACAGCCAACATAGAGTACATCCTGTATCCCCTTTGTCATTAAGACTGGGAGCACTACTCAGTAGCAGGCCACTGACTTAGCTCCAATATGAAATGGTGACATGAGGAACAGCCACCATGTACAGCCAACGTGGAGTACATCCTGTATCCCCTTTGTCATTAAGACTGGGAGCACTGCTCAGTAGCAGGCCACTGACTTAGCTCCAATATGTAATGGTGACATGAGGAACAGACACCATGTACAGCCAACATGGAGTACATCCTGTATCCCTGGAGACCTTACAGGGTACTATCAGCATGACCAGCTGAGCCCAGGTTTTTTACCGAGCTTGTTATCGCTCCTCCTCCTCCTTTTTCACCCGGGCTTGGGACCGGTAAAGTCAAAGTTACATATATTACAGAAAATTTGTGTCATTGACTCTTATTTCTCATCATATTAGTCAAACCAAATAGAAAGCCTTCATCTTGTGTCACATTCTTATCTTTCCTATATTCTACACCCCTTCGAAAATATGACAGTGAACATTGTGATAAGAGATTATACAATTTGTAATATTTACTGATGAAATGTGTCTATAACAGAATGCACACATACAGCTTTATTATGACCACCAGTCTTATACAGATTCACCACAGGAAGGAAGCATAGATGGAGCTCCTGTACTCCAGGCAGCACAGAACCCAACAACAGCCTCCAGGTCCGACGTTATAACAGAATACACATACAGCTTTATTAAGACCACCGGTCTTATACAGATTCACCACAGCAAGGAAGCATAGATGGAGCTCCTATACTCCAGGTAGCACAGAACCCAACAACAGCCTCCAGGTCCGACGTTATAACAGAATACACACATACAGCTTTAATAGGACCACCGGTCTTATACAGATTCACCACAGGAAGGAAGCATAGATAGAGCTCCTATACCCCAGGCAGCACAGAACCCAACAACAGCCTCCAGGTCCGACGTTATAACAGAATACACACATACATCTTTAATAGGACCACCGGTCTTATACAGATTCACCACAGGAAGGAAGCATAGATAGAGCTCCTTTACTCCAGGCAGCACAGAACCCAACAACAGCCTTCAGGTCCGACGTTATAACAGAATACACATACAGCTTTATTAAGACCACCGGTTTTATACAGATTCACCGCAGGAAGGAAGCATAGATAGAGCTCCTATACTCCAGGCAGCACAGAACCCAACAACAGCCTCCAGGTCCGACGTTATAACAGAATACACACATACAGCTTTAATAGGACCACCGGTCTTATACAGATTCACCACAGGAAGGAAGCATAGATGGAGCTCCTATACTCCAGGCTGCACAGAATCCAACAACAGCCTCCAGGTCCGACGTTATAACAGAATACACACATACAGCTTTATTAAGACCACCAGTCTTATACAGATTCACCACAGGAAGGAAGCATAGATATACTCCAGGCAGCTAAGAACCCAACAACAATCTCCAGGTCCGAATGAGTCTATAACAAGAATATTCCACGTGGCATTCAGCCTATAATGTTTGAGCCGCAAAAGTACAGGTATCGAAAGCTAATATTATCTTAGTTCGTACTGAGTAGTATCTAAGTTCAAACATAATTATTTGATTTGTTTACTTTTTTTGGCCATATCAACCACTATTCCCCATTGTTTAGAAAATGTTTAGAAAATTTTGGCATGTCTTCACATCCTGAACTCAAACAGCTGCTGCCTATCAAATCGATCATTATATTAGAAAATTCACATTGCTTACTCACGATGTCAATGCACAGAAAATCTGAATTGACTCTCAACTACGCTATCATCAAGGAAACGCAAAAAAACTCATAGACCAATGGAAAACATAAGTCATTCAAGGTTATAAGATCTTATATTCACATGACATCCTGAACTATAACACCTATCAAATCTATTATTATGTTAGAAAACTACTTGCTTTCTCACGATGTCAATGCACACGAAATAGGGATTGATTCTCAACTACGTTATCTTCAATGAAACTCAAAAACTCATACTCTAATGGAAAACATAAGAATGTATCTGTCATTCAAGGTTATAAGATCTGATATTTACATGCCAACCTTATCTGTAACAGCTCTTGGCCATCAAACGATCATTATGTTAGGAAACTTCCTTGCTTACTCACGATGGGAATGTACAGGAAATCTGGATTGATTCTCATAGACCAATGGAAAACATAAGGATATCCAGAGTTGTCTTCTATCTAAAAGGTCTATATATCCAAATCAATCAAGCTGAAGAAACCAACCAATAGCGACAATGTACAAAACAATCATCCAATCAGGAAGGGTCAGGATGTCCATGTCAAGTTAGTCTGCCAAACTTAAAGATTTCGCCAAGAAAGAAAGAAAAAAGAATGAGGAAAGTTTGCAACAGAGCCAAACAACTCCACTCGCCAAAACGGAGGGTTTGAACAGGCTCCAAGGATTTCCCGTTACCCAGAACTTGGCTCATATCACTTTAATAACGGCCTGGCTGAATTTTGTGGTGTTTTCTAACCACGAAGGTAGATTTCAGATTTCATTGAATATTTCAACTATAATTTAATGATAAATCTAAAAGATGGTCCAAGGCACAATACGGAACAAATCCCAAAATGACACAAGTAGTTTAAATCACAAAAGATAATTAATTCAGGTGGCTTGAAGATGCTTCGAGGAAAAATTCAGAACAAATCCCGGGATCAAGATGTATCATGGTACAATTCAGAACTAATCCATGGAACAA